GGCTTGGGGACAGCCCTGCCCCCCCCTTTGTCCCCTCCCCAGGGTGGCCCGGCCGGGGAGGAGCCGGTGAGCAGCTCCCAGCGCACCTCCAGCCTCTACGCCCGGGAGGCCCTGATTGAGATCGACTACAGCGACCTGCCCGAGGAGCTCAAGGTGCGCTGGCCCTTTAATGCTGGCCCTGCCCGCTTCCCTGGGGCCTCACCCACTTTGCTGGGGCCCCGCCCACTTATTCCCAAGGCCCCTCCCACCCCCCCATGGGACTGAGTGTCCCTGCTCCTTATGCTAAAAGCCCTGCCCAGGCTAAGCACTGCCCATTCTAAGCCACACCCTTCTCATTAGCATAGCAAACCCCACCTCTTATCATTAACATACCAAGCCCCACCCCTTCTCATTAACATATCAAGCCCCATCTCCTTTAGCCTTTCTCATTGACCTTACAGCCCACATGGCAAGCCTTGCTGGGGGTGTGGCCTGTCCATAGCCACACCCCCCTGCTTGAGACCACACCCCACCTAAAGACCACACCCTTGCCAAAAGGCCACACCCCCTTAGCTAGGCCACGCCCCTTCCTAAAGACCACACCCCCTTGACTGAGGCCACGCCACCCCCATAGAGTCCCATAGGGGCTCCCCAGCTGAGCCACCTCCCTGGGGGTGCCCCGCCCCTCTGACGCGACGCCCCGCCCCTCTGACGCGACGCCCCGCCCGCAGGACGCGCAGGCGGAGGAGGAGATCCGGCAGGAGATGAACCAGCTGCAGCAGCGGCTGAGGGAGCAGCAGAGCGTCCTGCAGCGCATCGCCGCCCCCAACATGAAGGCCATGGAGAAGCTGGAGAGCGTCCGGGACAAGTTCCAGGAGACCTCGGACGGTGGGGACGCGGCGGGGACACCGGGAAGACACAGGGACGCCAGGAGGACAGGGGGACATGGGGACAGCAAGAGGACAGGGGGACATGGGGACAGCAGGAGGACAGGGGGACATGGAGACAGCAAGAGGACACGGGGACATGGGGACAGCAGGAAGACAGGGGGACATGGTGGACATGGGGATGCCAAGGAGGACACAGGGACATGGGGACAGCAGGGGGACATGGGGACACCGGGAAGACACAGGAGGGACATGGGGACGCCAGAGGTGTGGGGACACCGGGAAGGCACAGGGACACGAGGGGACATGGGGACACCAGGAAGACACCGAGAACATGGACACCAGGGACATGGGGCCACCAGAACGACACAGGAGGGACATGGGGCCACCAGAGAGACGGGGGAGGGATACGGGGCCACCAGGGAGCTGCGGGACGGTGACACGGTGACACAAGTGACGCACAGGACACGGTGTGACACAACCCAACCCCCCCAAGCCCTTATTTTAGGGGAGCCACACCGGACGTAGCGCAGGGATGGCGGCCGGGGGCGGGTCCGTAATGTCCCCAAGGGGGTCCCTGATGTCCCCAACGATGTCCCCAACGATGTCCCTTGCCCCCCCCGCAGAGTTCGAGGCGGCGCGGAAGCGGGCCAAGAAGGCGAAGCAAGCCTTCGAGCAGATGAAGAAGGAGCGCTTCGACCGCTTCAACGCCTGCTTCGAGTCCGTCGCCACCAACATCGACGAGATCTACAAGGCCCTCTCCCGCAACAGCAGCGCCCAGGTGGGCCTCGCACGAGGCCTCGCACGCTCGCGTGCCCCTCCTCCCCCCCCCCGGGACCTTGCACGCTCGTCCCGGAGCTTGCACGCTCGCCCCCGGCCTCCTATCGGGCCTTGCACGCTCGTCCCGGAGCTTGCCCGGGGCTTCACGTGGCCACCCAGGCCTGGCACCGCCGCCCTTAGCCTTGCACGGGGCCTTGCACGCTCACCCCAGCCTCACACGGGGCCTTATATGGCCACTATAGCCTTGCACGCTCACCCCCAGCCTTGCACGGGGCCTTGCACACTCACCCCCGGCCTTGCACAGGGCCTTATATGGCCACTATAGCCTTGCACGCTCACCCCAGCCTCGCACGGACCCTTATATGGCCACTATAGCCTCGCACGCTCACCCCCAGCCTTGCACGGGGCCTTGCACAGGGCCTTGCACACTCACCCCTGGCCTTGCACAGGGCCTTATATGGCCACTATAGCCTTGCACGCTCACCCCAGCCTCGCACGGACCCTTATATGGCCACTATAGCCTCGCACGCTCACCCCCAGCCTTGCACGGGGCCTTGCACAGGGCCTTGCACACTCACCCCTGGCCTTGCACAGGGCCTTATATGGCCACTATAGCCTTGCACGCTCACCCCAGCCTCGCACGGACCCTTATATGGCCACTATAGCCTCGCACGCTCACCCCCAGCCTTGCACGGGGCCTTGCACAGGGCCTTGCCCACTCGCCCCTGGCCTTGCACAGGGCCTTATATGGCCACTATAGCCTTGCACGCTCACCCCAGCCTCGCACGGACCCTTATATGGCCACTATAGCCTCGCACGCTCACCCCCAGCCTTGCACGGGGCCTTGCACAGGGCCTTGCACACTCACCCCTGGCCTTGCACAGGGCCTTATATGGCCACTATAGCCTTGCACGCTCACCCCAGCCTCGCACGGACCCTTATATGGCCACTATAGCCTCGCACGCTCACCCCCAGCCTTGCACGGGGCCTTGCACAGGGCCTTGCACACTCACCCCCGGCCTTGCACAGGGCCTTATATGGCCACTATAGCCTTGCACGCTCACCCCAGCCTCGCACGGACCCTTATATGGCCACTATAGCCTCGCACGCTCACCCCCAGCCTTGCACGGGGCCTTGCACAGGGCCTTGCACACTCACCCCTGGCCTTGCACAGGGCCTTATATGGCCACTATAGCCTTGCACGCTCACCCCAGCCTCGCACGGACCCTTATATGGCCACTATAGCCTCGCACGCTCACCCCCAGCCTTGCACGGGGCCTTGCACAGGGCCTTGCACACTCACCCCCGGCCTTGCACAGGGCCTTATATGGCCACTATAGCCTTGCACGCTCACCCCAGCCTCGCACGGACCCTTATATGGCCACTATAGCCTCGCACGCTCACCCCCAGCCTTGCACGGGGCCTTGCACAGGGCCTTGCCCACTCGCCCCTGGCCTTGCACAGGGCCTTATATGGCCACTATAGCCTTGCACGCTCACCCCAGCCTCGCACGGACCCTTATATGGCCAATATAACCCCGCACGCTCCCCCCCAGCCCTGCC